TTAATATTTGCCTTGTTCTTACTTGCTTGGTTAAAATCAAATTCTACGTCACTAATCTACCTCTAAATTCCCCAACACAGCTTAGAAAACTCTCAACAGTTAGGCATATCAACTTGTTGGCTCCACTTCTTCCTCTGGGAAACATTGTTCTTGGACTCTGCAGGCCTTAACCTGGCAATGCTCTTCAGGCTGAGGCTTCTGGTCACCATCATCCTATATACCTTCCTCTTTGCTTTCCTTCTGAACTAGATCAATATTCTTAGAGCAAGTCATCTCTCTCCTGTGCTGAAGTATGCTCCTGCATGCTTGGCTTCCCTGTGTGTGGAGTATGCCCTCTGGAAGCTCTAAGTGAGCTGTCCTGAGCCCTAGCCTAGAGGACTGACGGGACTGCTTCTGTCATTTCTGCTACTCACATTTAAAGAAGCAAGCTAACCAGAGTGCAGGAATTGTACTTCCTCATATCTGATAAACAGTCTGCTAAGTAAATACTCATAGTGGAAATCACTCTGTAGTTCCAGTGTCCCTAAGTAATGTAAATCCTTTGGATTCATGCTCCTTAAGACAAAACCTCTCAGAAGTGTTTTACCATCTTTATGCATCAACAGTGGACCTTTCTCCACTTACTGTGCTGGGTGTTTGGTGAACCCTTGCAAACTCAAGTAAGGATAGAACATCACACATGTCCTGTCAGCCAAAGTCCTGCTCTCAACACACGTTTCTCAAGCTTCCTGGAACTTCAATCCCTGAGCTTTTTCTGAACTGTGAGGTCCACACCAGTATGCTTTCTGAGTTCTGCTTTACAGGCACTCGATTCCCGACTGCTCTGTGATCAGGTGATGTCCACGTGTCCACTTCCACGTTCTGGAATGCTGACGTCATCTCTGCCTACCATCATTTCCTCTTCACACTTTAGTATGTATCCCATAAATACAATGTACATTTGTCTAAATAACACTCTTCAATTCTCAGTGCTTGTTGTATGCAAATTATTTACATGATAACCCATTGTTCATCAGTCATATAAACAGACTAAAGAATTTGCTTCTAAAGTAGTTTTTTTTTCCCCCCTGAATAGTATTTCATTATTTTACACACTGAACACGCTGTGCTTCAGGAAGGCTGCAGTGTACAGACAGATTAAACAGTCTCACATCACTTTTACTACCACAGTTAGAGAAGCAAATTAATAAGAATGCAGGATTTCCAATCATTCTGTGAGCTAAGCAGGCTAGCTCTTATGTGGTCCTTTAAAAACAAAAAACAAAGCTGTCTCTTTTCTTCAACATCTCTGCCAGAAATTCTGTGTCTCTGACAGATAAGAAAGCTGGCACTAAGCCACGTGCAAAGGTCAAATGGGTACCAAGGCAGAGAAGAGATTCAAGCTTAGGTCTATAAGGACTCTTCACAGTAACTCAAATTGTATCTTATTTATCGACTTGAGACTGGCCTTGATCCCAATCCTCCAGCCTCCTGCTTCCCAAGCTCCAGGATTGCAAGCATGTACTACCACATCTGACCCAAGCTGTATTTCTGTTACAGTTTTTAATCAAATCAGTAATAATCATTCCAGAATAAAAATATGACTTGAATTTAAGTAAGTCTAGTGTCTTATTAGGCAGATGCAAACTGCTTTGACATTTCTTAATATTTTATGTAGATGTTTTGAGTATTAACAATATCTGCCTGATAATTTTTTAAGATGTAGTCTTAAAAAGGCAAAGTATTGGGGCTGGAGAGATGGCTCAGCAGTATTAAGAATGCTGACTGTTCTTGCAGGAGACCCAGGTTTGAATCCCAGCACCCACATGGCAGCTAACAACTGTCCATAACTCCAGGTCCAGAGGATCCGACAGCCTCTTCTGTCCTCCGCGGGCACTGCACGACAGGGGTACACTTACATGCAGGCATAACACTCGTACACATAAAATAAAAATAATTTTAAAAAAATGTCAAAGTATTAGTTCATTTAAATTTCTCACCCTTTAAACTTCAAACCCAAATGCATAGGTTTAAAAAAGGTTGCAACACTTTATATGAAGTTCATGCTATCCTTGAGAAATAGGAAGATTTTAAATTTAGCCTATTAGAATATTAAATACCTACAGATTTCAAGTTACTGATTACAACTTATATACTGTATTCAATTAGTATACAGTACTTTATACATCTTAGTAGTACTAAAAATATGTCTATCATTTCTAAATTCATTACACAGATGTAATTTTAAAATCTCTCAAACACTAGTGCTAGTTAGTTTTTGTCAACCTGACAAACTAGAGTACTTACAAAGAGGGAAACTCAACTGAGAAACTGCCACCGTCTGATTGGCCTGTAGCCATGTCTGTGAGGCATTTTCTTAATTGCTAATTGATGTAGGAGGGCCCAGCACATGTGAGCAGTGTCATCCCTGGGCAGGTGGGCCTCAGTTGTGTAAGAAAAGTAGCAAGCCAGTTGGTAAGCAGCACTCCTCCATAATCTCTGCTTCGGTTCTCTCGAGTTCCTGCCCTAAGTTCCTGCCCTGACTTTTCTCAATGATGGACTGTCACTTGAAGTGTAAGATGCAATAAATCCTTTCCTCTCCAAGTTGCTTTTAGTCAAGTGTTTTATCACAACAATAGAAAGTAAACTCAAACACTAGTCAAGAAAATTCTAGATTAAGCAAAGTTTTACAAGAGGTCCAAAGTAAATGAATGGCTGCATGAAGAACACTGTTAGAAATCAACAAACTAGGAAAAACTTGGGGGTTTCTGATTCTAAGGGCAATGTTATTTCTACACACAGTTCTTTCTCTAACAGCAGGAGATACTCTGCCATTGCAAAGATACGAAAGGCATTAAGAATAACGCAGCATTTTTTGGCTTTTAAATTACAGACAATGCTATTTTCCAAACATTGTTTCATCTTACAGCATAAATCATAACGTATTACAAGTTATCTAAGTCATTGGGACATAAGGAAAAGCATAATGAATAAATTAATTTCATAGCTCCAGATATCATTCTTTCTTTTCTATCTAATCATGCTAACTTATCAAACCCTGAAATTTGATCTTCTGTATTAGTGTCATATTTTTGGATCAATTTTCAACCTGTATTGATGGAGGAAAAAAAAAATCACAATGTTCATATAATTCTTATATCCCAATAGCTAAAAACAGCAGTAATGAAAATTTGGAGTACTGATCTATTTAGTTACACACAATACTGTAAACCAGTGCTGGCTACCACCACCAGAATATTTACCGGTGTCGGACATTATTCCCAAGCACCTTGCTAACACAACCCTGTAAGATATTATTAGCCCATTTTACAAACGGGAAACTACCCTCTAAGGTCATATGACCAGTATCCAAACTGTAAAATCTTCAAAATTCCAAGGTTTTTTGAAACTCAAGTTGTATCAAAAATGAACTTTCTTTCATGATTAACTTCTTCACAAGAGAATATTTACCTACTTTTAACTTTAAAATCAGAGAACAGGCTAACTAACTCTCATCTCTCGCTCTATTGCCTTCCTCTAGCATACCTGCTTGGTAAAGTCCTAGGTCATGAGGCTGCCCACTCATGGCCAAGTCTTCTGATGAGGACTCCAATTTTTAGTTTTGTTTTGTTTTGGGTTTTTTTTTGGTCTTTTTGAGACAGGGTCTCCTTGTAGCCCCAGCTGTCCTGGAACTATGTAGACCAGGCTGGCCTTGAACTCACAGAGATCTGTCTGCCTCTGCCTCCCAAGTGCTGGGATTAAAGATGTGCACCACCACGCCCGGTGAGGACTCCACTCTTAATGCTGTCATCTACCCTCTTATGATCTGAGGCCAAATGGAATTATCAGAAACCACCTTCCACGAGGAATCACATGCTTATACAACAGAACAATGTGACCCATGCAGCTCTTTCATGTATAGCCTGTGCACCTTGCACAGCACTCAAAATGTGGCCCCTCAACCACCCACATTCAGCATCACTAGGGAAGGTGATTTAGGCAACACCATCAGAATGAACTTTGGACAGCCCTCATCAACAATGGGAGTCCAGAAATCTGAATTTGCAATTCTTTCCCCAGATGACTCTTAGGCTCACCAACACTTAGGAAACATTCCTATGGATACATGGGCAGATGGAGAACTTAGCTACCTTACCATCACTTGAGAAAATTTTAACAGCAATGTGAAAATCTGCCACTCCCCCACACTCGATGTTTTTCTGAACCTCCAATCTGAGAGTTCTGAGGCCTGGTCCATTATTCTTCTCACTAGAAATCAGTGACACTGAGACTAAGATTATCTGCTTACAGTCCCATATTTAGTAGCTGAGATTCAGATCTATCCAGCCATTCTCTACAGCCTGGGCTCAGGTTCCTTCCCTCTGATTCCACTGTTAAATGTGAGAAGAGAAAAAAGGGAAGAGCAGCTCAGTCACCTGCCACTGGAGAAAACAGGCCAGGATTCCTCTCCACTGACAGCTTTGCCCTCAGGTCTGCTTTACAGAACTTTGAGGATATGGAGCCTTGTTGGAGAAGTATGTGATTGGGGGCAGGCTTTGAGAGTTTATAGCCTTGCCCCATTTGCATCTACTCTCTCTGCTTCCTGCATGTGAAGATGTCATCTCTCAGCTTCCTGCTTTGGCCATCTATGCCTCCCCTGATTCTATGACTCTCCCTCTGGAAGCATAAGCCAAAATAAGCTCCTCTTCAAGGTGCCTTGGCCATGGTATTTTATCATAGCAACTAAAGGTAACTAATACACAAATTTAATAGAGAAAAAAATTTAAAAAGAGTATCAGGTTGGGCTAGAGAGATGGCTCAGAGGTTAAGAGCACTTGCTGCTCTTCTAGAGGACCAGGAGTCAGTTGCCAGCACCCACATCAGACAGTTTACAACTGCCTGTAACTCCAGCTCCAAGGGCACTCACACGTATGAATAAAAATAAATTTTAAAAAAGAGTATTCTATAAAGCAATGTAGAAAACAGAGATTAAGATATTACAGCCAGATTTGCAAACTCACCTCCTACTTCTCCGGAGAGTCTCCAGGCACTGGGACTGCACACGTTTATGTCTTTCTAACTCACACTGCCCACACAAATCCTCCAGATGCAGCAGGTGATTTTCTACTTCTTCAAAACTCTCCTCTAAATGAACTAAAAGTATATAACACAAAAAGAAAAAAAAAAAGTCAAGTCTGAATCAGTGATCAAGGAGAAAAGGAAATGTCCAAAAGGCAAAAGTGTAAATTACTTGAGATTGCCCTGTGCTTGCTTAATATTTCTTACTGAACTTTCTTGAGGCAAAATTAAACACACTGACCAACATCAAAACGTCCTTCACTTATCTTCTTGAGTATATTTCAAACATTTTCCAGACATGTATTTTAAAATTACCTTAAATACTTTATTACTAGACTGATGAAGCCTCTTAATTAATGCTATCTCCCCATGACCCATATACCACACACGAACCAGTTTCCACATAATGAGAAGACAGCAAAATGCAATTAGTACAAATTATGCCACCATGATATTTGTAATTCCAAGTCACTTTAGCATCTGTTTTGTCCCTGGCACATTACACACATAAATTTTTGCCCAGAAGGTATTACAAATACTTAGTAAGCTGAGGTTACTAAGCCAGTCAGTGGTTTGGGGGTTAGGGGGAGACTCAGCTCTTCCTGCCCATTGATTAATGTTGTACTAGTCTCCTGTTCACAAAACTCTGCAACTTTATCGGGATATGGAGAATATCTAGTCAAAAGATTCACTAAAAATATTCAAGTCCAAAGTCTTGAAAAACAAGTGCAAGGGTCTTGCCCAAAGCCAGGGAAGGACGAGGGAAACCCAAGTTGAGTCTTTCACACTACGATGGCCAGCTGATAGGATGCTTAGTAAAGCGCTTCAGTTGCAGGAGCAAAGGACTGCTGATCTTCTACAACATAAGTTTTAGAGGTCAAAGACTTTAGAACTCAAACAGCCTCATAATCATTTAGTGACTGCTTACTGGCATATGCCAGTCACAGGAACCCCAGGATGAAAAGACAGGCATTGTGCTCAAGGAGATCACAGCAGCGGAAGGAACACTCAAGTGGCAGCACAGCCTGAGAGGGCCGGGCATAATGGGAGCTCAAGGGAGCATCATCTAGCAGAGCGAGGGGCAGAGATGAAAGCTGGAGGGAGACACCACAGTCAGGACATGAGTGACCCTTTCTCTCAAGGGATCTTAAGTCTAATATCTTATATGGAACATAACTTACAGGCACATGAGTTTGTCAGGGAAAGAATGAAAACTTCATTGATACTGTGATCTATTAGATCCATTATCCATGTTTACATAGCGACTGATACAGGTCAATAAAATTATTCATTCTAAATGACTATTTTTGTTGCTTTTCTCATTGCTGTGACCAAGCACCTCAAAGAAACAACACAGAGGAGGAGAGGTTTACTTTGGTTCCCTGTTTAAGAAGACAGACTCCATTGTGGTGACAGAGACAGTCTCAAATGTAGAGGTGGGGGCTTGTGCTCGTCACATCTCAAGGCATCTGGAAGAGGAGCATGTGGCTGGAAGCAGGGTCACAGAATAACCCCTAAAAGCCCTCTCAGTTCACCACCTCTGGTGCCATGTCCCAAAGGTTCCATAGCCTTTCAAAACAGTGCCACCAAATGAAGACTTAATGTTTAAACACATGAGCCTGTGAGGGACATTTCACACTCAAATCAAAGTCTGAGGAACACTAGGAATCTCATAGCTCAGGAAAGCAGAGCAGAGACAAGCTAGTTGTCCAACCTGCCAACTCAGGCTCACCATTTAAGCTGCAATAGATTCCTTCACTTATCTGCTAGATTTTCAAAGACTTTCTACACTAGTTCTCAGAGCATCTAGGTTAGGGGCAATTCCTCGAATTCCAATTTGTGATTCTAGATTAAGATACAAATTTTGCCCGTCTTTAAATAATCTTTGTTTAAGCCAAAGGTTATTAAATCTGGAAGCAATTACATTTTCTGATACCCTAAATTTTAACTCTTCTACATAGCTGGGCTTATATAAAAACAAACAAAAAAACCTCCCTTTTCTTTTTGGCAGGCAAAGGCTTTAAAGACATGAATTTTCGCAGAAAACAGAATTTTACTGCACAGTGCAAATGTGACTGGCAAGAGCTTTGCAGCTCTGCTCAGATACTGCAGGTGCTGCCTTTCCTCATGGTCGTGTGTCACCACAAACCACGGGCACTCTGAGACCATGGGGCATGCTGAGAAAGGCTAGTAACACAGCGCACAATAGCTTAACTCCACCAGGGTCACGGTAAAGCTGCTAATACATGGGATTATGGAATGCTTAAATGAAACAGCCTACAAAAATCTAAGATTTTAAATCAATGAATAATTACAGCTTTGCCTTAAGAATGTTACAAATGGCAACACGTTATATTAATCACAATTTCCATTAGTTCTTATTTTATTAAATGGAAAAATGAGACGAGGAGACTCAGCCTGGATGTTCTACAAGCAGTAAGCAGCAATATTCACCTCTTCTCTAGCTTGACAGGGTCTTAAAGCATACAAAACCATATCAAAGCTAATAGAATTACTTAGAGGCTTCACTGTGGTGGTAAGAACTAAATTACAATGAACATGAAACCCATTTAACACTAAGCAACTTCAGTGTAATACATGTTCTCTTTGCACATGAGGACTGATTCAGAGCAGGGCACTAAAGTACAAGTTTGTAAGCCCAGCTCTGCCCTTCACATGTGAGCTACAATGTGACACCTCAACTGTGGAGAGAGGACTAAAAACAAACATCTTGCAAAGCTGTCAAAAGGATGATGTGAGCCAAAGTACCTAAACTTAGTGCTAAAACAATTTTGAGTATCAAAATGCAAAGGAAACTGTAAGGGTTAGCTAAGTTTTATAAAGTCATTTAAAACTAACCTTGTTAGGGGCAGGAGATATGGCTCAGTGGTCAAGAGCACTGGCTGCTCTTGCAGAGGTCCCGGGTTCAATTCCCAGCACCCACATGATGGCTAACAACCATCTGTAACTCTAGTTCCAGAGGATATAACACTCTCTTCTGACCTCCTCAGGCACTGCACAGTATGGGTGCACTTACATACATGTAGCAGGCATTACACTCACACACATAAAAATAAATTAAAAACAAAACAAAACAAAACTTAGGCATGGTGACATGCATCTGTAATCCCAGCCCTGAAGAGGCTAAGGCAGGAAGATGGTTCCAATATGAGGACAGTGTGAGTTACATCCCAAATTTAAGGCAAGCTTGAGCTAACTAGCTAGAAGAGCTTCTGGGCACGGTGGCACAGGACTGCAATCCCTGCAGCTGGGAAGTGGAAAAGGCAGGAGGCTGAGGAATTCAAGACCAGCCTCACCAAACACAAACAAAAGAGCTTTTTTGACCACTAATGATCATGATTAATGGATTACAATATGGACATATGGATTGAAATAGATAAAATATTAAGAACATTTCCTTTCTTTCCTGGTAAACTCCAGGCTATGTTCTTAGACTCAAGACCCCCCCACCTTTTTTTTTTTTGGTCTTTTTGAGACAGGGTCTCCCTGTAGCTCAGCTGGCCTTGAACTCAGAGATCCACCTGCCTCTGCCTCCCATGTGCTGGGATTAAAGGCATGTACTACCATGCCTGGCCTCAAATTCTTTAAAACATTTTATTTTCATTGCTTGAGGTTGGAGGGGAATTCTCACAACAGATGAAATGTATATTTGTTGATGATATTGTGTCTCATGGTTATTAAAAAATACAAAGTTGGAAGATATTGGAAGGATATGGGAATAAAGATATTTTACCAAGAAGGATTTATGAATGAGGATTAGGATGGCTGGATACATAAAATATAATATAAAAAATAAAAATAAATAAATTATTTTATTTTCATTTTTAATTATGTGTATGTGTGTGTCTATATATGGGTATGTGCACTTGAGTGCTGGCACCCGGGAGGCCAGAGGCATTGTAATCCCCTGGAACTAGAGTTACGATTGTCAGGCACCTGAGATGATGGTGGTCGAGAATCGAACTCAGGTTCTTGGAAGAGCAGCAAGTGCTCCTAACTGCTGAGACCTCACCAGCCCCAGCTGATTTTTTTTTTTTTTTTTAAGATAATAACGGGGAAAAGTTACACCACATTGGAAAATGCATGTTTGTTTTAACTTTTATCTGTACAGATGGTAATCTCCATTTAGATTACAGCACTGTTGGTTGCCTACAAGTTAGAGGCCAGGCACCTGAACGAGCTGACGTTAGGCAGGCCAATTAAGTTCCATGGACAGAATCCTGTTACAGGCACAAACTATACTTGCATTCTTCTGTTAATGGCATGGGCCAGGTGAAAACATGTGAGCAGTTTAGTACCTACCATCTTGGAAAACTAACAAGAAAAGAACAGCCTCTGAACAGGCCAGCAGCAGCAAGTCCTTGTGAGGAAGTGCAATCTAAAAATGCTGGAGCGGTCAGTGGTCCCTTTAGTGCTAACCATCAAATCTTTATGTTCTCCCCCTTAAAAAGCTTCAAAGACTCCCAAGTCTCTTCATAATCAAGTTGAGCTCTTTAACTTAGCTTATGGGGTTACAACTTCTGCTCACAATCTACTGTTACAATCTCACCAGAATCCTTCACACACTCTACCTTACAGCAAAACAGGCCCACTCTTGACTTCATGAAGAGCTCCCCCGTCCCCCACCACCTGCTTGCCTAGCCTGTGGCTCAGGTGCTTCTAATGGCCCCTAGCTTCCTCCCTCCCTTTCCTATCCCCAATGTCACGTCAAGACTCCATGCTAGCCCTGCCTCCAGACCACAGGTATGCTCGTGCCTCTGTGCTTCCACAGACTTCCAAACCTCAAAAAGCTCATCTCTGGCTAACATGCTATAGCTAATTTGTTTCCTCAAATCTCTCAGCAGTCAGTCAGGCCTTAAGGCGGAAGACTGCATCCTTGTCTCTTTGTACTTCCCAAGAGCTAGTCTGAATTCAATAAAGATTGAATTCTGGTGGCAAGAGTGACTATTACTCTACATTGTAAAATAATCACCAAAAAAATAAATCCATGATTCATGTTCATCTAATTTAAATATTAAGAATGTACAACAGCCGGGAGCAGTAGCATATACCTTTAATCCCAGCACTTGGGAAGCAGAGGCAGGCAGATCTCTAAGTTCCAGGCCAGCCTGGTCTACACAGTGAGTTCCAGGACCGCTGGAGTTACAAGGAGACCCTGTCTCAAAAAGGCAAAAAAGAAAAAAGAAAAATATATGCCAAATTTTGTAAAAATAGAAGAACTCACTCAAATAGGAACCTCTGTTACTTGACTTAGGAAGCATTAAGCAGTATGATGCTGCTTTTATCAATGCAATGAACTTGCCCACATGATCTTAAGCTGAAGAGAAGAAGCGATGGGGATTTTCCATTTTAGCTCTTCACTGTGTCTGGTTTACTAAGGCGGCCTCACGCAGCCCAGGTGGCCTCTGACTCACTAAGCAGCTGAGGATGATCTTAAACTCCTGATACTTCTACCTTCCAAGTGCTGGAATTACAGGTGTGTACCACCACACCCAACTCTGCATTTTTACTCTTTACAAGTTTGAAATCAGCAATAAAATACAGAAGACAAATATTAAGTTTCCAATCTTTTTCTATTAAAAACTTTAGAGTACATACACACAATATATATTCCAAATGCTTATATTAAATTTAATTGACAAATTTAATGACCCTACCACCTGCTCTGTTCATTTTCTGTTAGAAACCCAGTTGCACATGTAAGTAAATTTGGTAACCAACTTAGAATGTATGCACATAAAACACTAGCAGGCCTCCACAGAACAAAGTATATCTTTACCAGGAACTCAAGCCTCATCATTTTGTTTGCTATAACAGCACAAGTCTCTAAATGATTGGGGGAAAAGATAGGTGGAATTTTACTGTGAAAAGTCACTTAGGACTGTGTGACAGCTGTGCAAGAAAGAGCTCCACAAATCTCCAATCATCTCAGAGGAAGAGCAATTCCACCTAGCGTTTTTCTTCATGCCATTTTCTTCAAGTAGATGTTATCTGTAATGCGGCCATGACACATGAAGCATCAAACAGCACACATAGTGAGTTTCTTCCTAATAAAAGTAATTAGCCCATCGGAACAAAGATAGCTTCTTTTGCTGCAAGCCCACAGGTCCCAGAGACCAGGTACTACAAGATGGCAAGACTCTTCAAATACTTATGTCACATTTTATGTACTAAGGTAATGACGGCATGATAATAAGGAAACTTTAAGAGGTTCATTAACTTGCAGAAGTTGCTATGGAACAAATGACATCCATGTAGTAGACTAAAAAGGTGTTGAAAGAGTTAGCATACGCTTTGGAGGGACTAACCTCAGAAAGTAACCTAAACAAGATAAACTTGAAATGTCAGACTCCACGCTAGCCCTGCCTCTCCAGACCATAGGGGGAGGAAACACTTACCAGCTATGGCAGTCTCCCTGCTAGATGTTCCCTCAAACTCTGTATAGAGATAGCAACACAATAATGGATCAGGTTAGATCCCATTAAAAGAAACACAGAAACTTGGTATATGGCTGCCACTCCACAACATCACTGTTTTATTTTAGAATTAACAGAAATTTCTGCTCTTGATGAAGAAACAATCTTTTCAAATAGGTCATACATAATTAAAGAAAGAAAACACAAGACAAAAAGACACTGGCAGTTTAAACTGATAAAGGACTAGAATTAGACTACCATCTAGTGGAAATTGAAGAGAACTCAATATAGTACTTTTTCTGAGGCGAAGTCTCACTCTAGTCCACACTGAACTGAAACTCACTCTGTTGCCCAGGCTGGCCTGCAACTTAAGGGGATCCTTTTACCTCAGCCTTCCAAATACTCAGATTACAGGCATGAAACACCAAGCCTGGCAATGGCAATAGCACTTTACAAAGACATACCTCCCAGTTCTATGATAAAAAGTACTGTGTTACCACGTAACAAACACAGACTCTGGATAAAAATATTCCATTTCATCCTTACAAACATAGTTCAATGTGCAGACTATTACACTGTTCATCTTGCTACATTGAGATGAATCTGTTACTTTATTTAAGAAATATTTTATTTTTATCTTTTATGTGTGTAAGTGTATTGACTGCATGTATGTTAGTGCACCTGTGTTGTGCAGTGCCCACAGAGGTCAGAAGAGAATGTTGGATCCCCTGGAACTGGAGTTACAGTCAGTTGTTAGCTGCCATGTGGGTACTGGGAACCAAACGTGGATCCTCTGCAAAAGCAGCCAGTGCTCTTAACAGCTGAGCTGTCTCTCCAGTCCCTTATTATTTTTATATGTATGGGTGTATTGCTTGCATGTTGGTAGATGCACCTGTGTTGTGCAGTGCCCTCTGAGGTCAGAAGAGGGCGTTGGATCCCCTGGAACTGGAGTTACAGACGGTAAACTGCCATGTGGGTGCTGGGAATCAAATCCAGTTCCTCTGCAAGAGCACCAAGTCTCTTAACTGTTGAGCCATCTCCTCAGGCCCTGAATCTTTATTTTTTTAGAAACAGGCTCTCATATTGTCTAGGCTAGCCTCAAACTTGCAATGTAGCCAAAGTTGACCTCATGAACTTCTTATTCTCTTGCCTCTAGCTCCCAAGTGCTGAGATTATATTGTATACCACCCTGCCCAGTTTATGCAATACTAGGGATAGAACTCAGGACTTCATGCATGCCCTTATCATACATTTAATGATCATGTTTTAGGTAAACTAAACAGTATGCATCTTTTGCTAAGGAAAACGGTTTTATAAATTTGCCAAGGCTAGAGGACCTTCTAGTAGAATGTCAGTTCCTTCCTGAAAAATACACAACCTTCTTTCACAGAGCCTAGAAACAACACCTGGCTCACAACAGATGCTTGGTACATACTAGGCACTGTGCTAAGTGATTGGACATTTGTCATTCCATTCAATTCTTCAGTTACTCTATGAAGCAGGTACAGTTGCTCCTCAGTGTCCTTGAGAGGCTGGTTCCAATACCTCCACAGCTATCAAAATCCTTGGATGCACCAGCCCCTTATATATAGTGGCACAGAATTTGCATATATCTTACATTCATCTTTTCATATGCTTTAAATCATTTCTCTATCATTTAAAATGTTATGTGACTAGTGTACCATCCTGTTTAGGGGATGACAAGATAACTGTACACATGTGTAATATGGATAATTTCTGGTGACTATTTTCTCCCTGCAGTTGGCTGTACAAATAGGGAGGGTCACTTGTACTCTGATCCCCATTTGCAGACAGAAAATTAAAATTTGGAGCATTTAAGAAACCTACAGGAACTGAGTCTCTAGAACAGAAAGACAATCTCAGAATGGAGAGTTCATATTCGTTTTTCACTTTCCAACATACTTTTATTATTTCTTTCTTAAATTATAGTACTTGCCAGTAACTATCAATTAAACAGGTTTTTGTAGGCTAGATGGACATGCCATTAAAAAAAAAAAAAATGAATGGATTACCTTTTGTTACTCAATTCCTGAAGAGCTAGGTTTCCAGGACTCATATTTATTAAGCCATAGTATATCATAGCTAAAAGCATCATCAACGGTCTAAACTGCTCACATAAAATAAATCCCTTACTCTTTAATAAGGACAGACCCTCCAAAGAGCAAGCCTGGGTCATTGAGAGAATAACTGGATATGGTATTAGATGTGACAGGGTCAGGATAAAAAAAAAAAAAAAAACCTCAAAGCTGGGGACTGGAGACATGGTTCAGTGGTTAAGAGCACTGGCTGCTCTTGCAGAGGACCCGGGTTCAATTCCCAGTACCCACATGGCTGCTCAACCACCCATAACTCCAGTTCCAGGGGAATCTGACACCCTCCTCTGACCTCCACAGCACTACATGACATGGGTGCACTTACACACATGCAGGCAATACGCTCATGCACATAAAATAAAGATAATAAAATATTTTTAAAAATCAAAATTGGGTTGAGGAGATAGCTCAGTAAAGAGCTTGCTGCACAAGCCTGGAGACCAGTCTCCAGGACCCACTTAAAATAGTCAGACACTGCAGTCCCTACCTGTAATCCCAGCACTGCTTCAGGGAATGAGGCAGGGAGCAGAGAATCCATGAAGTTCGAAGGCCAGCTAGCCAAGCATATGCAGCAGCAAACAAAGACTCTGCCTCTGACAAGGTAGAAAAGTGAAGACCCACTCCAAGGTTGTCCTCTGACTTCCATACGCACACTATAGCGCGCACACACACACACACACACACACACACACACACACACACACACCTGCACTCAAACATATGAACATGCAGGCACAGGCATACACACAAATTTTTTTTTAATGTTTAAAATCAGTTACTATTTTCTTCTAAGTTGCTTTTATTGTGTATTATTGCTTGAGTTAAGCCTTGTGAGATTATGTCAAAGTACTAGGTTATGACAGGAAATATTTTGAGGTTATCAAAAAAGAAATTCAATAGTATATGAATTAACATTTGAAACACTAAGCACTTCTAATATTTAAACATGATGCTCAAACTCATTGAGTATTAGTTTCTAAAGTGCACTAACGATACAGATGTTTTTAACACTTACTCCACTAAATCTGGCTTCACAATGTCTATTCTATCAGCACGACCCTACAAAATTTAAGGTGCTAAAATTCCAGACCATCTTTCTTTGACCATGTTCCAGGTCAACATATTTCTGTTTTACAGTTATTCACTATTTTTTGTGTGTGCTTTTGTTTTGTTGAGACACGGTCTCACTTTGTAGCCCAGGCTGACCTAGAACTCACTTTGTAGCCTAGGCTGGCCTCTTACTAGTGGTGATCATTCCTCAGCTTCTCAGTCATTCATTGTTAAATGTAAATACCAGGAAAGTAATAGCAATAAGTTAAACTTCTAACACGTCTTTCAAATGCTGATGAGCAATTCAAATTAACAATATATTATTTCAAAAGAACTATCTAGACTTTAACTATATTCTAAGCAAACTGATTCAAACAGATTAGAAATGACTATCTGTCCAAAATACTATCTCAGAGGATTTTGTAGGGTTTTTTCTTAAATTATTCGTTGTGTTTTGTTTTTTGCTGATAGTGACAAATGTTATCAAATTTGTAGAAAGAATTCTAATGAACAATTGGGAAGCCATCCAAATCAATTAAGAAGCCAAACTCAGCTCCTACAAAGGTATCACTGTATCACTATATCACTAAAACTCAAACCTGGGGCCAGTGAGATGGCTTAGCAGGTAATTCATTTGCTGTGCAAGCCTGACAACCTGAGTTCAGTCCCTAGAACCCACATAAAGATGAAAGGCAACAACTAACTCCACAAGATGTCCTCTGACCTCCACACATGTGAGATGGTGCGCACACACACACACACACACACACACAAAATAATTTTTTAAAAAACATTTAAATCAAACTTGGGGCTGGAGAGATGACTCTGCAATTAAGAGTACTTGCTTCTCTTCCAGAGAGCTGGAGTTTGGTTCCCAGCATCCACATTGGGTGGCTCACAACCATCAGAATTATAGCTCTAGTGGATCAACACCCTCTTCTGGCCTCTGCAGGCACCAGCACACGTGTACACGCACATACATAAACATAAATAACCTGAAAAAATAAACTTTACTGAGAATATTGGACTTTTTTTTTTTTTTTGGTGTTTTTTAGACAGGGTCTTGCTGTAGCCCTAGCTGGCCTGTAGCTCACCATGTAGACCAGGCTGGCCTTGAACTCAGAGATCTGCCTGCCTCTGCTTCCCAAGTGCTAGGATTAAAGGAGTACACCACCACACCCAACAACTTTTTGTTTTTTAGATTTATTATTTTTTTTATGTGTATATACATCAGGACTGGTGCCCATGGAGGTCAGAAGAGGGTGTCAGGTCCTGTGGAACTGAAGTTATAAACAGTTATGAGTCACTGGGAAGTGAACTTGGGTCCTCTGCAAGAGCACCAAGTGCTCTTAACTGCTAAGCCATTTCTCCTGCCCCAATACTAGACTCTTAATTGAAAATGAAAACACAGCATACATTTTTTAATTATTTTTTGACCTATTTTTTATTTGTCTGAGTGTACTGCCTGTATGTGTGTAACTGCACCTGTGTCATGCAATGCCAATGGAGGTCAGAGAAGGGCATTGGAGCCCCTGGAACTGGAGTTATAAACAGTTGTTAGCTGCCATGTGGGTGCTGGGAATTGAACCTGGGTTCTCTGCAAGAGCAATCAGTATTCTTAACCACTGAGCCGCCTCTCCAAACCCCTTATTTTAATTATCTTTTAAAATTTAAGTGTATGAGTTTTGCCTGCATGTAAGTGAACCCAGGTCAGGCAATAGCTACAGAGGCCAGAAGGGGGCATCTGATCCCTAGAACCAGAGTTATGGACGGTTGTTAGCTGCCGCGTGAGTGCTCTGATCCAGATCTTGGTCCTCTCCAAGAGCAGCCAGTGCTCTTAACTGCTGAGTCATCTCCAGCCCCAAAACTGTATTTTACGAAAGATGTAGGCTGCATTTCCTAAATGAAATTAACTATGAAAATAATAATTGTGGCAAAATATACGCATTTAATAGAGTGGTATTAAGTAAAGAACAAATACAAAGAAAATCTCTCAGTTGAGGAAAAACAAGTTGATAAAATTCATCCAAATGAAAGCAAAAACAAACTTCCACAAAATTTAAATGCAGCCAAACAGGTATGGCAACTTAACTGGACTTGACTGAAGAGTTTGAAAAATAACATCCTATAAGACACTCTCTAAGCAGTTCAAATTTTAAAAGCAGCAACTTCCAGAGTATATACTTCAGTCAGAACAAAGTAACACTAAATCTTTTTTTTTTTTTTTTTCTTTTTTTGGTCTTTTTGAGACAGGGTCTCAGTGTAGCCCCAGCTGTCCTGGATTCACTATGGAGACCAGGCTGGCCTCAAACTCAGAGATTTGCCTGCCTCTGCCTCCTGAGTGCTGGGATTAAAGGGATGCGCCACCACACCAGGCTAAAATCTTTCTATTTTCTATTTACACTTTTAAGAGACCTAATGTTTTGTACAAAGACAGTGCTGAGTCACTTTAAGACTCCATAGGGCTGAGGAGATGGCTTGGTCAGTACAAACACAAGGATCTTCACTGGATCCCCTGTAAAAAGGCAAGTGGGCTGGCATGCTCATAATCCCAGGACTGGAGAGGTGGAAATAGGTAGATTCCTGGGGCTCACTGGCTGGCCAATTAGTGAGCATCAGGTCCCACTGAGAGACCCTGTCTCAAAAAACACAAAATAAGAGGGTTGAAGAGATGGCTCAGCACTTAAGAGCACTGGCAGCTAACCCCTTCCCTCCCCTGACACACATGCTGGCTACTCTTGCAAAGGACCTGGGTTTTGGTTCCCAGCACCTCATGAAGTTCTAGGGGGTCCGATGTATGACATGGACGCACTTACACACAGGCAAAACACTGATAACACATTAAAAAAATAAGTAAAAAATAATTAAAAACAAAAACCAAGATGGGGGGGTGCTGAAGAGATGGCTCAGCAGTTAAGAGCACTCGCTACTCTTGAAGAGGACAGGGGTTCAATTTCCAGAACCCACATGGCTGTTAACAACTGTTCATAACTCCAGTTCCAGGGGAATCCAATGCCCTCTTCTGAATTCTGCAGGCACTGCACGACACAGGTGCACTTACATACATGCAGGCAATACACTCATACACAAAATAAAAATTTTTTAAATCCCAAGGTGAACAGCTCCCAAGGAACACCACCCCAGGCTGACCTCTGGCCTCCACATGCACAAACACCTGTACACCCCCAAACACGTATGCAGACATGCCCACACAGGCACACAGAGAAACAAAACAAAAATTAAGTTTCCTCAGTTGACCTGAAGCACAAAGTATTAGTGGTAAATTTTAGAAATCATTTCTACATGTTTTCTATATAATCAAAGTATGAAATTAACAAGAATGAATTTTTTTAATGTTAAATTAATGAATTCACAAAAAGTTCTGAAATGGCACCAAGTCCTGCTGAAACTGTTTTCACTCCTGAGAGTGCTGTTCAGATAGAAGCACTATACTTACCCAGGTTTGCCATCATGGAGTCCAAGTCTGCAAGGAGACCTGGCAGCTGCTGGAGCTGCTCCTGGAGCTCTGTCAGGCTAGTCCTCTTCTTCTCCCAGTAGGCAGACAGCATGACCACCTCACTGTCCACCAGCTGCAAACAGACCAGGAAGCAAAGGGAAATTACAGTTAGCATGTAAGATGGGGACAATGTGTCTTCAGCAATCCTCTATGAAGTACAGATGAGAGTATATGCTCCTGATGACTAAAGTTGTTTCTGTTCAAAGTTAACCAACTTAATATTCAGTAAAGGAAACCTCGAATTATTGCTGTACCAGAGCATCTTAAACCAAAGAAGAGAAAACTTTAATATGAGATGAGAAGTTACTTCTAAGTATACTTGGTTTTTAAGGAAACTGTTCATTTGAAAATTCAAACCTAGGGGGAAAAAAGGAAAAAATAAAATGACCACTGAAAATCAAAAAGAAGCCTGGTGTGGTGATGCATGCCTTTAATCCCAGCACTTGGGAGGCAAAGGCAGGTAGAGTAAGTTAGAGGCCAGCCTGATCTACAGAGTGAGTTCCAGGCCAGCTAGGGCTACAGGGAGACCCTGTCACAAAAACACAAAAACAAAAAACACAACAACAAATCCAAGACATAATTTACAGGTAATCACTTGCTTTACAAAAGCAATTTTTATAAAAGTTCCCTAATGTATTTGAACATTCTATGATCAACTTACATTTAAACAGAGCATTTCTTACATAAAGTAAGGTAAATGGTACAGTACATGAGAAATTACTGAAGCAACTGATCAATTCTACAAGAGAAATTAAAGGATTTAAGTTAACAAGGAAGGAACAAGACGTAAAAGGTCCTAGTAACAGGTCTGAGAGCTCCCAGACAGCCTGTGATGAGTCTAACGTTTCCTGGAGACTAGAAAGATGACGGCAGACATTAGTTTCTCCTAGACATTCTGTTTGGGTCTTAACCTGATAGAGAAAAAGACCAAAAATAAGATGGAGGAGCAAGGACAGGTTAGCTTTTAAAAACAAACCAAAAATAAGCTAGGTAAGAAATATTTTCTGAACAAGAAAGATAAAGACTGCAGAATCTACTATAAACAAAAGTAAACATGCTTGAATTATATGAAAAATAAGTTCACAGTTAAATTATTCTTTAAGATAGGACAGTGTGCACTTCCTAAGACTAAGATTCTTCAAGAGGCAGAAGCTGAATATAACTGATACTATAATCTTAATAAATAGTTAAGAATTCAGAGGACCCCAAAAACAATAAAGGCCATTGCCAGTAATGTTCGCTGTACCCCAGAAGTGGATGGAAAAGCCCTATTGCTGAAGACACTGAATGATGTGAGCGTGGGAGAGGGAGAGATCAAGCTTAGATTAAGCTGGAAACTCCCTGTCTCTGCATGGGTGGCTTTTACAGTGCCAAAAGGCAACATGCAGATGACTGGGGGAGAGTAGTCCCCTATAATTCTCCTCAACGACAGACCCCATGTGTTGCACTACCAACATACCAAACAAGATGTTCCTGCTGGTGCAATAGTGGAGCATATAGTGTATGTACAACCAGCAAATTTTTGATTGGATATAATGCCTGCTCCTAGGGATGGAACACACATCTGGTACCGTAGACCCAGCCAACTCCCTGTGGCAGGGGAGGATATAGGTCCCAGTGGGAAGTCACTGCAATTGCTTTGTTAGATAGAAGTGATGCACCTGTTAAAGTACCAACCAAGCATTTGTGTTTACTTCCATAGGTTATTATAGCAGTCACTGTTTAGATATTCCTGTTTCTTGCTGTGTATGTTTTTATAGTAGATGGAATCCCACTCAAACTGGCCAACAGCCCATGGGAAACAGACAATGCAGAGACCTGAAAGTTTAGTGCCTTGCCACAACAGGAGGAAGATCATCCCACACCTACCATCCCCTCCAAGGCTCAGGGACTTCTGTGGAAGAGGTTGGCAGAAAGAATGTAAGAGCTGGAGGAAGGGGTAGAGTGCTAACTGGCAAGCTATAGTCACACCTCCTTCCCACGCTCATCAAGGAGTAGGGATGGTCAGTTACCCCTCCCACTCAGGAATCAGTTGGCCTTAGCTACATGTAGCAGGAGGGGCAAAAGATATATAAGCCAAGAACACCAAGAGGCACTGCTCACCATTTTGTGGGGCTGTCAGGAGGTCACAGGATCTATATTTGAGTGTGGACTTCTACGGCACAGGCATAAATGTGGGTTGGAAATGGGGATCTGCACCCACAAAATTCATTTCTAATATTCAAGCAATTTCCACTGACTAACTTGTTAGGTCTATTATTAGGCACTGAAACCACAACCAAAAACATAGGAGAAAATAAAACTGTCCTCTTAAGACATTTTAGTGGCAGGTTTCTCAAATTATCTTAGCTTCAGACTTAAAAAAGCAGAAACAAAAGATTCACAGAGCAGACTTGAGAATAAATGGACTATTTTGCCTGGTACATGGCATTATCTTTTTTAAAGCTTTCTAAACCTTAGTTTATTAGGTAACTTGAAAAGTCTAGAATAAATTTTAGATACTGACCATTTCTTACCAAAAACTAAAGTACGATTTAGATATTAAAGCTTAACAATGGTTTAATTCACGTCTTCTACAGAACCAAACAGTATATTCTTAATGTAGAACGTTAAGAAATACACACAGAAAGAACATAGCCGAATGCACTAAAACATTTTCATCAAAGAATAAGAAGCTGAGTGCCAGGCGTGGTGGCACACGCCTTTAATCCCAGCACTCAGGAGGTAGAGGCAGGCAGATCTCTGAGTTCAAGGGCCAGCCTGGTCTACATAGCAAGTTCCAGCCCAGATGGGGCTACAGGGAGACCCTGTCTCAAAGTTACCAAAAAAAAGGAAAGAATGAGAAGCTGAACCAACTCAGTAATCAATACTAATACACTGGACATTTGCTAAGGGCCATGCTCTAAGTAACTGATATATTATCTCATTTAAACCATACAGCAACAACCTTGTGTGTTCCCCAAAGGCTCACATGCTTAAAAGCTTATGTGGGGTAGTTGAGAGATAGTGGAACATTTCATACGTGAGGCTGAGTAGGAGGAAGTTAAATCACTGTGGGCATGCCCTTGAAGGGGGTATCAGGATCCTAGGTCCGTTCTCTTGGCTTTATGCTTCCTGGGTACGAGATGAACATAGCTCCTCTACCCACTACTCCCTAGTGGAATACAATGCCTCATTTTCACCACAGGCCTAAAGGCAACAGGGCCAAGTAACCATGGAGCAAAACTGTGAGCCAAGATAAATCTCCTTACTAAGCTGATTTCGGGTATTTTGTCACAACACTGAAAACTGATTAACATAGTCTAAAACTCCAGTTAGGTTTGGTCCAAACAAGTTTGTTTGGGAAGCAGCATAAATGGTGTTTGATACCATTTTACAGATGAAGAAAACTAAGGGACTAAGTTATTTGCCCAAGATCAAAATATGTTAGATTGTTCAAAGATGAGAAACAGGATTCCTAACACTCACTTTTGTTTGCTTTCTACCCCAGGTACAGGAAGCATACCCTGAGCACAGGGAAGTGAACAGCTCACTCAGCTGACTTGCACATCAGACTGCTGAACAAAACCATGAATCTCAACAAGTTCAATTCAAAAGCAAGCCAAATATTTCACAGCAGCAGGAATTAAAAGCAAAACACTAGAAGTTACGTTTCAGAAAGCCACCCTGGAAGTAACCTTAAGTCACTATTGACTATTCACTTGAAGACTGCTGAAAACAAATGTGTGAAAATGATCTCTCCAACAAGACTCAATTGTCCATAAGTATACCTTCCCTGTAAGGTTGATGCTGTTTAATTAGAAGCTGCTAAAGAAATAGGATCAGGTCTAACAAACACTTAAGTTTAACACTAGTAAAAAAGATACTCATTTACAAACGTCTCAATGACATATTACTGAGAGATTTTAATTTTATGTTTTTGATACAGTCTTTTATTTATTATTGTTTACTTGAATGTATTGTGCGTATTGCCTGCATGAGTGTGGTGCACCCGTGTCATGTAACACCCACGAAGGTCAGAAGAGGGCGTGAGAGCCCCGGGACTGGAATTATGGACAGTTTGCTACCATGTGGGTACCAGAAATCAAAACTGGGTCCTCTACAAGAGCAGCCAGTGCTCTTAACCACTGAGCCATCTCTCCAGCCCCGACAGTCTTATTTTGTATAGCTCAGACTAGCCTGGAACTCACTATATAGCTGATAGCTAAGGCTGCCCTCAAGCTTACAGCTTACAGCAGTCCTCCTTCAGCCTCTCTTGTACTGGGAGTACAAGTACATGCCCTACAACTAAGTTTAATTGTCATCTTCAAAGCTGGGCATCATCGAGGGTCATCTTGGCTTCTGCAAATGAAACTTTGGATGGCTTATTTTCTGTGTTGGTGGAGAGAGTCTAAACTAATCTGTGAGACTCTTTGGGGCCTAGGTGTAGACTCTGATCTGAAGCAGACTTGAGTGGTATATCAAAGGATACCCACGTGTGAGTCATTTCCTAACTAAGGGGCTACATGGTCATGTGGGAAACTTAACTCAGAACCCTACACTCTTGGGAAGGCAAACCATGGTAACAAATTCAGAAAAGGAAATGAGTCACGCCAACGTGCTACTAAGAGGGACAGGTTTCCTTTTTCCGAGTTTAACCTTTCACCAGAGGATGTAGCCACTTCACAGGTCAAGGAGCAGGAAACAGGCATCTCCACCCAGTCTGCAGGGCAAAACCCCCAAAACGCTTCTGCTTTAGGCTTTGGCTCTAGATTCCTGTTCTTCTTCTTGATTTCAGTTCCTCCTTTTCTCCCTTCATATTTCCCTTAATTTTATAAGCTTAATGCATGTTAAAGAATATATACATGTATACATACAACTTGTGTTTTGTAAGTAAAATCCTTCACTGCCTTCATACCAGCCTTTAAGACTAACCACCTTTACACTATGTAATGAATAACAATTCTTCCATTGCTCTAAGAACACTTGCTGCTCAGTACTGTATGTGGTTCCAGCCTTTTCTTTCAACACAGTAAACAGACCTTTTACTTTGGCTGTGAAACTAGCATCTAACACTGAAAAGGAAAGTTTACCAGAAGAATAAGATTAGCAAATTCTTTACCTCTCCAGCATTTGCACATTCTTTGGCTCTTCTGTGAAGTGCAGCCCATGTGTCCTCATACCTAAAAACAACAAACTCAAAATGTCAACACTGAGAAGAAATACATCTACAGGTGAGTCTATAATATATCATGGTTCTAGAGAGGAGCTGAAAAACAAATGGACGTTAACAAGGGCATGGAAACCAACTTCAAAAGGAAAATAAATACTCAAGAGACCCTAAGCACATAAATAATTGAATTTAAAAATAGAAACGATAGGGTCCCACCCTCACCTCCCTCTGTTTCTCTGGGCTGCATAGCCCACCAGCCTCTTTCCTGGATGCCTGGGTTGACCTCTCAGCCCAGGGCCACCACTGCTTCCTGATCCCTTGCATCCAGACGGACCCAGTTTCTTCTTGAGGTCCCTAGGAGCCCTCTAGGCCTGGTCCTGCCCTCACCTCCCTCTGCTTCCCTGGGCCTGGACTTCCCACCAGCCTGTCTCTGGGGTAAGTCCTTTGCACCCTCCGCCCCTTGACTCCCCCAGCCTCATTCACCCTGCCATCTCCCCTACCCATCTCTCCTCCTGGCCTGGGTCCTGTCCCATTCCTTGTCTTGGTGCCCCAGACACCGGGGGAACCACCACTGCTTCCTGATCCTTTACATCCAGATGAACCCAGTTCCTTCTCACTGTTCCCAGGAGCTCTCTGAGCCTGACCCTGCCCTCACCTCCCTCTGCTTACCTGGGCTGCACAGACCACCAGCCTCTTTCCCAGAGGCCAGGGCTGATACCTCAGCTCTGAACCACCATTGCTTCCTGATCCCTTGCATCCAAACAAACCCAGTTCCTCCCCCCAGGCTCCAGGAACCTGATGGGCCTGGTTCCGCCCTCAACTCCCTCTGCTTCTCTGGGCCTGCACAACCCACCAGCTCTCTCCTGGGTAAGTCCATGACCCCCTCCAACGCCTTGAATCCCCCCTCATTCACCCTCCCATCTTCCCCGCCCATCTCTCCTCCTAGCCTGGGTCCTGTCCCATTGCTTGTCTTGGTGCCCCAGACACCTGGGGAACAACCACTGCTTCCTGATCCTTTGCATCCTGACAAACCCAGGTCCTTCTTGGGTCCCCAGGAGCCCTCTGGGCCTGGTCCCACCCTCACCTCCCTTTGCTTCCCTGGGTTGCACAACCCACCAGCCTCCTTCCTAGACACCTGAGCTGACCTCTCCGCCAGAGGCCACAACTGCTTCCTGATCCCTTGCATCCGGATGGATCCAGTTTTTTCTTGAGGTCCCCAGGGGCCATCTGGGCCTGGTCCCAGCCTTACCTCCCTCTGCTTCCCTGGGCTGCACAACCCGCCAGCCTCTTTCCTGGACGCCAGGGCTGACCTTTCAGCTTCCTGATCCTTTGCAGTCCTCAGGAGCCCTTGGGGACGCTTCCCACCCCCATCTCCCTTTGCATCTCTGGGTAGCACGGCCACCAGCTGCCCTAGACGAGCATATTTCCTGGGCCTGGCTCCCAGGCCAATCCAACCCCCAAATTCCTGAGGCCAAAATCTTTCGTGGAGGAATTCAGACCTTGGGGAAAAGCCTGAGAGCATCTGATCCTCATCTGACTTGGGCCTCTGTGGGAACTTCTGAAGACAAAAGCAATCTGGCCACACCAATATAAAATCAAGAGGGAACCAGAAGCTTAGAGGAACCAGCTTCTCATTCCCAAAAAGTAAACCACAAAGACACATAAAGTTCACAAAAAGAAGCAGACCTAAACTTGAAGGCTCAAGTCTCACACAAGAATCAGAAACTACGAAAGAAATTCACATCACAATCACAGAGAAAAAAATAACATGAAAAACCAAACTAACATATCCCCACCAAATACCAATAGCCCTCTAGAGGAGTACAATGAGAACCCCTGTGCTGGTTAGTTTTGTGTCAACTTGACACAAGTGGGTTGAGGGAGCCTCAAGTGGGGAATTTCCTCTATTAGAGTGGCCTTTGGCCATGTCTGAGGAGCATCTTCTTGATGAGTGATGTGGGAGGGCCCAGCCCATTGTGGGTGGTGCCACCCCTGGGCAGGTGGGCCTGTGTTGCATAAGAAGACAGGCTGAGCAGGGGCCAGGAAACAAGCCAGTAAGCAGTGTTCCTCCATGGCCTGTGCTCCAGCTCCTGCCTCCAGGTTCCTGCCCTGAGTTCCTACCCTGGGCTCCTTGATGAACTGTGACCAGGTAGATATAAGATAAATAAACCCTTTTCTCCCCAAGTTGGTAGTGGTCAGAGTATTTTGTCACAGCAATGAAGAAACAAACCAGAACAACCCCCTAGAGATAATGCAAGACACGGAATACAAAAGAACAATAATAAACATGATAAAAGATTTCATAGAATTTAAAGAACACACAAACAAATCAAAGAACTGAAGGGAGATAGATAGGGATAAGCTTCTGAATGGAATCAGAAGAGTTAGAAATATTGAAGAATACTAAGGCTGAAATGAAGAAGGAAGTGAAACACTCAGTAAGTCAATTAGAAATGACATGAGAGAGCCTCACCAATAGGATGAA